TATATATATATATATATATATATATATCATTTATATTCTTACTGTGACTTGTATTTGTATTCAACTATCACAAACTAAAATATGTTTCATACATATCTGTTATCACTCATTGCAAAGCTCACTACAGGTTGAACAAATATTAATAAATAACCATTCAACTTTAGCTAGCCTAATGAAATTATTAAAATAAGTTATATATTGATTTATACCTTTCAATAAATAGATACATAAATAAATACAAGTAAAAAGAATGGCACACTAATATAAACATCTTTCACCAAGCTGTATTTGTTTTTAAAAATTGTTGTTTTCATATAAAGACTAAAACCAGTGTAATATCACGAATTACTAGTAAATAAATTATCATCAGTAACTGGGGCAGAATTATCATCATCAGAAAATGTTTCTGTTTTATTTGAGATTTTTTCTAAAGCCTCCATACTGTCATGAAGACTATTTTCATCACAGATTGTGTCCCCATTGAGGGAGCTACTTCCTTCATCACTGCTGTAATTATCAAAAAACTGTTTATTAACATAATTTTGTGTAGATCCTTGCTTTAGAATGTCATTGGTATAATAATGACATTCCCATGAAAAAGACTCAACATACTGTTCTTCAAGATCCTCAAGACAGTAATCTTCGTCTGACAAAACAAGTGATCCTGGAAGCTGGGCATCACTAAGTCTGTGCAGTTCTTCTGAACTGAGACTTCCAGGATGCCCTTCTCCAGATGAGGACGAAGAAGAGTCACTTAGTATAACTTCATATGCTGTATTTCTTGGGGGATGCTCGTTGATAAAAAAGTCATCCTGGACTTGATCTCCTATACTGTGTGGAGTTCCAAGATCCAATTTTTTTTCTTCTACATAGAATTCAGGTAATTCAAAAGAGTTTGTTGTAAAACTTTTGAAATTTGTTTCAAAGCTTTCTGGCATTGTTATAGATTCTTTTTTACCTGCTTCATAGGAAGTATGAGAAGTGATGTTTTCAACAAATTCATAACCTTTTTGAACATCTTCTGGTTTTGATTCCACTGGAAAATCTGATTTATTTTCTGACAATTTCAAATCATTATCCTGCACCAATTGGCCAACAAATGTATCTGAATATTCTTGTTGCTTTAATTGACTGCCAAAGCTTTTTACACCTGATTTAATGGTCATTTCATTCAATACTTCTGGAGGTAACAATGGTAACACTCTTTTCTTTGCTATACTTCGACTGGAAAACTTGGAGGTCTCAAGATAATCTACACGCTTAACAGGCAATACCTGTGATAAATCATGAGAAGGAAGAGGAGTTTCAAGAACACCATGAGAGACTGCCTCTCTTCCAGGGGATGCAAACAAATCCACAGTCTCTTCTGTAAAATGTTTATTACTGTCATCATTTTGAACTAGCTCTCTAGAAGTACGCCTTTCTTCACTCTTTAAACTGTCTTTGTTAACAGGAACTTTAGGCACACCAGAACTTAAACAAGTAATTGAATATTTACTAGTATCTGCTAAGTTTGACTGAACAGACTGTTGACCTTTAAAGAAAACATTTCTTTTAGCAGAATGTGTCACATGCTTTTCCATATCTGTTTGGAGACAATGTCTTGTTTCTACCATATCTGATAAAAGTGGAGATAGCTTTTGGTCTTTTAGATACACTGAACAACAACTTGATTCTAAATCTGAACCCTTTCCAACCCTCCCTTTCCTCTGAAACTGTTGTTGATTGTTTCTTATACCACAGTTCCAACATATCTGATTATGCTTTCCAATTTCTAGCTCAAGCATATTTTTGGAATTTTTCGGCTTATCTTCAAAAAGACACATATTTGTACTATTTTCTTTACAATTACATAACCTATTAACTGATGAGTTCTGGGACAAATGCAATGATCTACTAGTTGATACTTCCCACTGAAAAGGCCTGGGAGATGAAGCCAGATGATTATATGATTGACTACGTTTTTCTAAGTCGTGTGAAAAGGCAGAAGACAGCAAACTTGTCTGATTTGTTGACACATCCACCTCTCCATGCACAGCTCCATTAGCTACCACTGATTCAAAACCTTGATTGTTGACATAAAAGGAAGTTAACTGTGAGATACGTGTTTGTTTGGATGGTGCCACATTTCCACTTGAGAAATCATTCATCATCCTGTCACTGACAGGTAAAAGTGGATGAGCAGATACAGAAGTTCCAATTGAACCTATATCTCGATAACATGATCTTTTTAACCTCAAACTTGTGGACCTATGGAAATGGATGAAACAAATAAACACTAAAGTGAGAAACTTTTATCCTATGGCTAAAAATACAACAAAAGAGAAGGTAACAGTTAATTTCTAATACACATTAGCAGCAGATATAAGAAAAATTACAAATTTTATGTATGTTTACATAATTAATATACTAAAATACATAATAAATATGCACACACAAATTATAAAAAAATAAAATTTAAATTAGTTGACCATCTTACATTATTCTAAAACATTTTAAACTTTGTATATCTACTGTTGCCTCCAGCAACTACGTTGTATATCTACTGTTGCCTCCAGCAACTAGGTTGAGCTGTGCTCACTTGAATATCTTTTTTCTTTATTTTGTTGATTTTTCATGCACAGTTATATTACATATTTGGTAAGCTGGAATTTCACCACACACAATATTTTTTTACAATATACATGTTACTTTCTTTAGCAGTTAAAAATTACTGTGATTTATGTGTGCATGTTTAGTGATAACAGTAACTATATAAATATATATAATTGAGTGACTTAAAATGTTTTACATTTTGAGTAACTCAGTTTTTGACCCCCAGTGGCACAATGGTATGTCTTCGGACTTAGAACACTATAAACCGGGTTTCTATACCCATGGTGGGCAGAGCACAGGTAGCCCTTTGTGTAGCTTTGTGCTTAATAACAAACAAAAATGACAACTCAGTTCTTGTAGTTTTGACTTTTTTATTTTAATACTTTTTGCAGCATTCAAACTTTCTATGTCACTATAGCTAGTTAAGGTTACATGTATATCGATCTCTACTTGTATTTACAAAATTTCAAAGTTTTTTTTTATACTTGTTTATTTCTTTTTTATTAGCTATATTTTTGTGCACCAAGAATGGAGTGTTTGTATACCTAATTCGATTATATTACTCATCAGGATCTCTATCAACCTACCCTCAAATCTAATTATATGCCCAAAGTAGTACACTGTCTGTTTTATAGCATTCAGTACAAGAAAGGAATCATTGGGATCCCAGATGAAAGAGTTCTGTGAAAGAATTACAACAATAACGTTCGTACCTTATCTGTACACGTCTGGAAAAAGTCACTTACGTACTTAGATGAAAATTCGTTGAAATAGTGAAATTTTGATTCATTCCATAAACATGTATACAGCGATTAGGTGGCTTTATAAGTACAGTAAGCTTTAATTTTGCTCAGCCAATACTGTGAAATATTCATTGTTAATATTTAGACATTTTAAAGGTGGTTTTAACCATGTAATTTTTTATGGCTGCCATTTTGTTTCATCACAATACCTATTATTAAGTAGTAATGTACTTAATGATATGTTTGTTCATAGAAGTGTTTTTATATGATAATATAATTCATCTTAGGTTGTTATACGTGGAACATTTCCCAGTAATATGATGCAAAACTTATAAATTATTATAAAAATTATGTTATTCTAATTAAAACATGTAAATACTTATGAGTGTATAGATGACCATACACACACGTATATAACAAGATTTTATATGTATGATTTAATTATTTAATCTTTTTCATAGAAGAAAAATGAAATATGTTTAATTTATTCACAATATTACATTAGCAAACACTTTTCAATTTCCTAAATACTTCATTTAATAAGCAATAAAAATTCATCGGGTATTTTTTACTGATTGAAGTTACCCTATATATATTTATTCCATATATACACGTATACAAATTATGGGAGAGTTATAAATGTACTTTTATCTTTATTAATAGTTTTTTTGTTAGACATTATATTACTTTTAAACAAGAGTGTGCTATTAGCAAAAACACCTTGATGTAGATAATTGGTCACACATTTTACTCATTTTAGGCCTGTCTAAATGATACTGAAGAAGATGCAAGCTGATATCAAAATGTTTTTTACTGAATTTTGAGCAAAACTACATGAGGGCTATCTGTACTAGCCATCTCTAATTTCGAAGTGACAGACAAGAGAAATGGAAACTAGTCAACATCACCAAATCTTGGGTTACTCTATCTGATCACTAAATAGTTGGATGGACCATTACATCAGAAAGGGCAAGCATATTCAAGGAAGGGTTTCAATCCCACAACCTGCTGATTATGAGTTGAGCACCCTAACCAACAGGTATATCAAAAGCTTCACCACAAATTTTCACTTACAGTCTCAGTGATTAATATTTCAACTATGTTTCCTGATCACTGAAGTGGTTTTATAAGATATTTGTATCTAGCTCTACTGGCAATGATATTTTGCAAGTTACTTAATGCATTTTTTAATTAACATTTCTGGTATTAAAAATATCATCTGTTTTCGTTATTGTTGTTCAAAAAATTATTGCTCACCAAACTCATAACAAGGTAGATACAAACAACTATGTATAAAAAAAATGAAAAAATAACACAATTAAAATATACCAGGAAGAAATCTTAATCAGGCTGACAACTTAATCTCTAGACAGACTTGATACAAACTAGAATAAGATGTAACAGGAAAAAGACAACATGTCTTATCCAACTTGTTTTTATAATTTCTCTTTTGTTGAACTACTCACTGTTCAGTTGATTAAGTATGTGATTTAGAAATAAAAAGAAAGTAAATCTTTACTTTTATTTACTACATGTGAATCATGTACAAAGTTTAATCGGAAAACTTTGTTAAGACGAAATTTTGACTAAGTGTGTGAAATGAAGAAAGAAAGATTGAAATCTGCAATAAAAAAGTGTTTTCTTAAGAAATTTGACATTCAGCATCCTCATAGTTGTTAAATAAATCAATGGTAATGTATTTAGACTACACATTCTTTATGAAGAGTATTCAAGGTTGTTTTTTATTTTTTCAAAGTGAATCTGAGTTAACAATGTTAAAATCCTCCTGCTGACAAACAGAGGACAGTATCAACATGGGCCCAATCCAAACTTGAACATGTAAGTAGTAGATTTTAACTCTCATGTCACTACATACTAAAACTATGTTAGTCCCCAAACAGGATTGAGGAAAAACAAAAATAAGCAGCTCATATTTAGGTCTCAATGTTGTCTTTTAGTGGATCACCCATAGTTTGAAATGAGTATATTACAAAGGAAAGTCAGCCACTATAGTTTGGGAGCAGGGCCTACTGCTAAGATTCACTGGCACAGAGTAGTAATATAAGTTAACTATTACATCTGTATGACAAATAGCCGAGTTAATGTTTGTTTATTGTTTTTGTAACTGTAAATTCTTGAAACATATAATTCAAAACCAATGTAAATTTAGAGTACATTTAATGGGCATTAGTATTAGTACTACACAGTGTTGTAGTCAAGACTTCAATGTCCAAAACTGAGACCTGGTAATAAATTACATAATGAAAAATAAAGCAAGAAGAATAAAAATCACATGCATCAAACAAACTTTATTAACATCTTAACTGCAAATCTTATACATATTAACTTCACAGTCTTTGTTTTAACTCTCCTCTTATGAAAAAAAAACAACAATGAACGAATAAAAAAAAATCAAAAAGGTCAGCATATAAAACTAAAACCAGTGCTGTTGTCAGTAAATTCTTTATGATATTTGAAGCCAAACAGGATCAGAGCAGATCTACTAGACATGTTGAATATCAGGGATAATCGCTAATGTTTGACGTAAATACATGCACCAGATGAAGTTCATACTAACATGTAGTAAGCCTATGCACAATGCAATATGTAGTTTCAGTTAGTTTTGAATAGCGTGTGTTATAACCATGACTCTCTTAAGGTAGCCAAATGCCTCGTCATCTAATTAGTGACGCGCATGAATGGATTAACGAGATTCCCAATGTCCCTATCTACTATCTAGCGAAACCACAGCCAAGGGAACGGGCTTGGAGAAATCAGCGTGGAAAGAAGACCCTGTTGAGCTTGACAGGCTGACAACTTACAGGCAATATAAGGCTGGTAATGTAAACAAAAGTAAGGGAAGCACTATAACCATCATTGTATAGGTACCAAGGGGGATTTACTCATAAAATGACTTTGATGCTACACCATGCCTCTTATGAACTGCTGCGTAATTGATATTTGGTGCTTAATAATCCTGGGTAGGCGACTGGTCTAATACTGTTAAAACTTTTAAATTTACCTGGTCATGTTTTCAAAACATGTAAAACATTCAGACCTAAGGGGTTCAAGACCAAGACATCCTGAAGGGTGGTCTCGAAATCTACAACACTGGTATTAGACTAAATGTTAAGTGATAATTTTAAAAGGTATCTTGTGTGTGTGTATATATATATATATATATATATATATATATATATATATA